ATATATTAATCCAAGCTAAGGTAATTGCTGATGTCTTTTTCTTCTTAGCATTGAGCTAATGCAGAGCAACAAAGTGACAAAACACCTGCATTTGATGAGGTGGTCATACCAGTGATGATCATGAATCAATACATTTAATCAGTAGAGCATAAACCAAACAATGATGCAGCACTCTTAAATCTTACAGAAACAGCTTTTCACACAGATTAATGTTTAATAAATGACTACCTGTGCAATCTGTTTTGTGTTTTTTTACAGTTGAGGTTAGATTTATATAATTTCAGAAGCTATATTTGGATACATAAAACATTAGGTTTGAAACAGGGTGTTCTTTCTTTGTCCCATGGCTGTTTTGAGAATTAAAGTTCTCCAAAGTTTACACAAGTACATGTACATTTAAGAACATTTTAATTATTTGTTGATTATGTTTTTATTAATTGCTGATTTTAATTGTTTTTGTAAGGTGACCTTGGGTTTTTGAAAGGCGCCCTGAAATAAAAATTATTATTATTATTATTATTATTATTATTATTATTATTATTATTATTATTATTATTATAAGAGTATATTTAACCAATAAACTTGACAGGACTATATTAAGCAGTACATATAAATGTCTGCGTCATAAATGTTCAATGCGATTTTGGTGACACTACAATCAATGATATTAATGTCCGTAGATATCACAGCTAGTTATTACAATTTGTAAAAGGTCAAGACATTTTTAATTTCACTTACACTGATGTGTACATCTGTTTTTCCATTTACAGCCACACCTCCGCTGTGCACTGAAAATAGCTCCACACAACACCTACTGCACATAGACACCTGTATTCATGAAAACTAATGTGGACGGTTTACAAAGTAGAGAGAACAGATTTCCCTTTTGACACCTGGCACTTGCTGGGCTGCGTAGATAGGCAAATGTATTCAGCGGCATTAAAGGTGGAGCACCTCATTGTGAGATCTGGCACAATGTCACTGAAGCTGTGAGGTGCAGCTGAAAGAATTAAATCCTTTATTGGGTAAGAGCAATAATGAACCCTAGCTTGAAAGATTATGAACCACTAAATGATTTTTAATAGGCTCAGTGCAATGGTGCATGACCGTTACTGATAAATGAGTGTGCGGCACCTGCAGCGCAAGCTTATAGTCATAATTTTTTATGGTGGGAAGATGTAGTCATGCACTCAAACAAAATAAAAATAGCTACATCGTCAATTAGGTGTTGTCATAAAAATGAACATGTGGGAGAGAATCAAATAATGTGGGTTATGTTCCCACTTTCTGGTTTGTTAACTCGACTTGCGTTACAAATGTGCCTTATTGTTGATTTGTTGAGTGCATTTGGTTTTAACAGTGCTACAAGTCAGGGACAAGTCCAGTCTCTGCTCATCACAACATTTACTACTATCTTAAGATTTACAGTTCATCTTGAAGTACTCCACTTCATGAAGTTGAGGACTGCTAAAATAAGACCTTCAGCAACCTTGATGGTCCCTTTTTTACTTTCTATTAATCTTTATTAGGGATATCATTAGGGGTTTATTAGATGTATGTAAGGGAGTGGTGGCGCAGAGGTTAGAGAAGGTGAGCCTGTGATCAGAAGGTCACCAGTTCAACTCCCTGAACCAACAACATCAAAAATGTGGGTAGGAAATGTGAAACACCTACACCTGCCTTCCCTCATTTGCCCAACTCTGGGCCATTGAGCAAGGCCCTTAACCCCCACCATCTGCTCCCCTAGGTGCCCTAGATGGCAGGTCCCTGCTTCACACTGAGGGCTGTGGTAGCTCGGTGGTCTGTGGGCAAAAACCAGAGTACCCAGAAGAAACCCACATGTGAACTAGGAGAATCCCACACAGAAATGTTACTAGTTTATTAACCTTTATTTAACCAGTCAAATCTCATCGAGGTCACAGATCTCTTGCAAAGTAGGCCTGGGCCTGAAGGCAGCTTAACATGCATGGTTTTGGATTGTGGAAGGAAACCAGAGTACCTGTAGAAAACGCTCACAAACTTGATGAAACATGCCAACTCCACACAGAAAGACCCCCTTGTTCTTACCGGGGCTTGAGCCCAGGACCGTCTTGCTGTGAGCCAACAGTGTTAACCACTAAGTTGTTGTGCTGTTTGTGATTTGTTCAACATGCTTT